TAAATCGTCAGTAACATTATAAATGTCTGTGCCGTCACTTTAATCCTGAATGTCAATGTAAATAAACTGTTGTTTTTGCACTTGTGTGGATGTATTAGTGTTTGAGCTGAGACGAATGCAAGACAAGGGGTTTCGTGCTGATATTCTGCACAGCAAAGTGTGTTTAGTAAACGATTGAGCACATTTGGCCCAAAAGTGTTCCTAGAGGTCCCAACGTTATCGAGCGCAGCTTCAGTCGTATTTCACACAGGCCATTTTGTTGGTTTAAATCGACTGAAGCACAGAGAACGGATTTGGTGTTTTGTATTCTGATCAACAGAAAAATATTCTTTAAAGTGAAGTTTTTAGACTTAATACAATCAGTTGCATATACTTGCGGCAGTATTTATTACATGCATCTTTGGTGTTGAGTGTTGAACATCTGGTCACTAATGTTTCCTCATTATTCCTTGCAGAACATCTCAAGCTCAGTCAGGTTTCTGCAGTCTTATTTAGGTCCACTAATAAAAGATGAACTAGACTGATGTCTGAACTCTGAGTTGGCAAACATCATTGCTTTCAAGCCGTTCCTGCATAGATTAGGTTTAATGTCTCATCATCCAGCTGGAAAGCAAATCTTCTCTGGGTTCCAGGTGTCTTGGTGACTCCATCCAGTTTGCCTGTGTTTATCTCCCCTCATACACCTGCAAATGTCCCGCAGTGTGACGCCGCCACCTTCATCATGCTTCACGGTTGGCCGCCGTGTTTCTGATGATGTGCAGTATTTTGTTTACGCCAAGCATGCAGTTTCATCTAATGGCCAAAAAGCTCAAATTTGGTCTGATCAGACGGCAGCTTCTCCCAGCTGAAGGCAGAGTCTCTCAGTCTCTCACACATGTGTGAAGCTCTCTGCATCGGATGTTTTTGTCGATTCTCAGTCTGCAGCTCTGTCAGGCATTGATCAGCGTCTCCTCCACGTCACTCAGTTTTTGAGGATAAAACCACTCTTTCAATTATGGGTTTAATTACGACAAGGTATATTCACTGACTTGGAAATATTCTTGCATCCATCCTCTGCCTTGTGCTTTTCAATTACTTTTGTCATTTGGATTTACTGGGGTGTTGTTTTCATGATGTAAGATGATGATGTGTGTGTGTGTTCACACATAGTATGTTATTAGAATTATTATATTACTAAAAAAATAAATATGAATAAATATAAAAATAGAAATAATATTATTTAAATAAAATAATTACAATATTATAAAATTATATATATATATATATATATAATTTTATAATATTGTAATTATTTTATTTAAATAATATTATTTCTATTTTTATATTTATTCATATTTATTTTTTTAGCAATATAATAATTCTAATAACATACTATGTGTGAACACACACACACATCATCATCTTACATCATGAAAACAACACCCCAGTAAATCCAAATGACAAAAGTAATTGAAAAGCACAAGGCAGAGGATGGATGCAAGAATATTTCCAAGTCAGTGAATATACCTTGTCGTAATTAAACCCATAATTGAAAGAGTGGTTTTATATGATGGCATGTTACCAGAGGAATGCCAGTGTGGGAAATCTGACATCTCTTCCGTTCCGAATGCTCCGCAGGGATTCGGCCAAAATAGGAGTTTACTCATAGCATGCACTCGCTGTAGGAGTCTGTTCCTGATGATAATGATTGCGGACGATTCCGTCAGGAGAAACCAATGATGGAGGAACCAGTTTAATTCATAACTCTCACAGAAAACTGAACTAAATGTGACTGAAAAAATGTCACATCCATCTCAAGCAGACCCTCAGTGATGGAGAATGACGCCTCAGCTGAAAAACGACCTAAAGATCACTGAAACCGCATAGCGATGCACTGGCAGCCACGCTGAATTCAGCGTGATGAAATGCTCTTCAGAGACGGGTGGTGTGTGTGTTTCTGCAGGTGGTGTGATGAAGAGCGAGTGATGAGCTGCGGTGAGGAATGTCCGTCTGTCTGCTGCTGGTCCTCTTCACACTGACCGCATACACTCAGGTGAAAACAACAGCACAAGCTCTCACGCCACACGCTAGCCTTCACACATTTGGGGTTAGTAGGGGCTTTTATGTTTTTGAGTATTTTCTGATTTATTTGATAAAAATGCATTACAAATGTGACATTATTATGATTTAAAATAGCTGTTTTCTATGTGAATATCTGGAATAAATATTATTTATTTCTGTGATGCGCAGCTGTATTTTCAGCATCATTGCTGTGGTCTTCAGTGTCACATGATCTTCAGAAATCAGTATAATATGCTGATCTGCTGCTCAAGAAACATCTCTGATTATTATCAATGTTGAAAACAGTTGTGCTGCCCAATATTTCTGTGGAAACTGTGATACATTTTATTTTTTAAGGGTAAACAGATAAAGAAAAGTAGTTATTTGAACATTAGAAATGTCTCTTATGATCAATTTAATGCATCCTTGCTGAATACAAATATTAATTCTAGTGCTGTCAAACGATTAATCGCAATTAATCGCATCCAAAATAAACGTTTGTTTTGTTTACACAATATATGTGTGTGTACTGTGTATATTGCATGCATACATGCATGTATATATTTTGTTAATATATTAAATATATTTATTTATAATATAAATGATATGAATATAAGACATGTAAATACATGTTAATATTTTCAAAATACATACTGTATGTTTGTGTATTTATATATATACATAATAAATATACACATAATACACACATATATTATGCAAACACAAACTTTTATTTTGTATGCGATTAATCGCGATTAATTGTTTGACAGCACTAATTAACTCTTTTTTTTTTTTTTATCTTTCTGACCCCAACATTTTGAGAGCTAATGAAAAGTGCTAGTTGATTCTTCCTGAACTTTATTCTATTTTTAGTCTTCTCAAGTAAATGCATCTCGTTGAGGATATGTATATCGTCAGATGTATCTCTACTGGAAAGCAAGATGAAAATACTGATTATGAACATGATGTCTGCAGTGCCTGTATCTCATGCGAGTGTTCATCAGCGACTCGTGGGAACTTTTCTGCGTTTGTGGACGTCATGTCATGAGATGTGATCAGGTCCCTTCTGGGGACGTAATTATCCTGCTGAAGAAACATATTTTTATTTAAGAAAGCATCATAAAATGAATTTCACCCTCTTAAAATGATCTGATTCTACTTCAACATCAAAGAGGTTTTACATCTTAAAACGGCATAATTAGCGCGAGTCGGATCAGAAGAAAGAGGATGTTTATCTCGAAGCGTTGCTCAGGTACTTTTGAGCCGTTTAAGAGGTGTGCGACCCGCGTTTGAGGAAGGATCTGATAAACACAGAGCGTTTAACGCCAATTCAAATCTCAGAGATTATTTTTGCTGAAGTCTCGTATCAACAACTCTGTGATTTTATTTTATTTTTGTATTAACATATTGACATTCAAAATGCCATGCTTTCTGTGTCAATACATTTTTTTTTATTTGTATAAATAATTTACGAAATAATTGAATAAGTGTAAGACAATGCATTTTTCAGTTATTCAATAATATTGACTGTAAATAATGTGGTGTGATGATATTTGCTAGATAGGGCCGTTATGATGCACTTTTGTTCTGACCTTCAACCCTATAACTTTTTGACACACAACATGCTTTGATAAAAAACCATCATGGGTTATTAATATTCTTCTTTATAATGCATGCTTTACAAAGTACAGTGAAAGCAAGTGAAATTGATTGTGTTATCTGTCCGAATGAAACACATGTCAGTGCTGAACTTACTGTGACAGAATGATTTACAGTAATGCAGCGCTTCAGGACACGGTTGCATTTTTAACTCCTGAAGATGGAATTAAACCTATGCTGTGAGCAGATCGGTGATGGTCTCACTTATCTGTCAGACTGCTGAAATAAATGTGTGCTTTCAACCGACCTGCAAACGCTGCATGCCATCCGGGAGTCATTTAAGACATGAAGGGTTAAATTAAATTAAATCTAAAACGTAAAAAAAAGAAATAATAAGGTTACTTGAAATAAACTCTTGCTGAGATAAAATAAACACTAACTGACAAAATTAAATTATAAATTAAAAAATAAGTTAAAAAAGTAAACTGCCAAAGCAACTTGATGTATAATAAAATAACTAACAATGAAAATGAAAAAAATAAATGGAAAATGAAACAGAAACTATAAAGGCATATAAAAATACAATAACCAAAAAAATAACAAAAATTACAAAAACACATAATTACTAAAAGTTAAAATGCAAATGGACATTACAAGAATAAAAACTAATTCAAAATATTTTTTTACAAATATATCGTGTCTAAATTATGTTAAAATAACACTGCTTTAATGACATGATGTGAATTAAAACATATTTTTTACCTGCATATACTCTTATCTTTATATGAATATGCAACATGATCTCCAGTGTTATAATAGTATTATTTATATTAGTATTTACTAATATTTAGAATTAGCTTTTAGAAGTTATGTGTTATGTGCTTTTGTAACTTACAAATTTGATTTGCTTCAGTGTTATTTTAATATTTATATACTATTATAGTATGAATTCATATTTTAAATGAGCTTTTATTGTTATTTTTCATTTTAGTTTGAGAGATTTTCTTATGTGGCTTCATTTTTTTTAAATTAAAAAATATATTTTTTTATTTTACTGTTAGTTTTAGTACTTAAGCTTATTTTATTTCAGTCAGTTGCCAAAGCAACATTTCTAATTTTCTTAGTTTTTACATTTTTCATCAAATGTGTTTATTTTTAGTTCAGCTTTATTTCAGTTCCCAAAACAGGACATTTTTAATAGTTTTAGTTTGCAATAACAACAATGATCTCTTTAACATTCATAAACTCTAGTGTGTACGTGCACATTTATGTTGCAGTTTAAGAAATCAATAGAATGCTAATGCGCGAGTCTCGTGCTGTGTTTGTGTGTGTGAGCAGTTCATCAGGGGCTGGTTTACCGCATGTGCGGCGCTGACGGCAGATGGGCTCATGGGAAAAACACCAGTGAGTGTGAGCAGGACGACCCAGGACAGGTGACGCATGTTTAATGACTTGATGATGTTTTTGAGCGATGGGGCTAACACTTGGCTGACTCTCTCTCTCTCTCTCTCTCTCTCTCTCTCTCTCTCTCTCTCTCTCTCTCTCTCTCTCTCTCTCTCTCTCTCTCTCTCTCTCTCTCTCTCTCTCTCTCTCTCTCTCTCTCTCTCTCTCTCTCTCTCTCTCTCTCTCTCTCTCTCTCTCTCTCTCTCTCTCTCTCTCTCTCTCTCTCTCTCTCTCTCTCTCTCTCTCTCTCTCTCTCTCTCTCTCTCTCTCTCTCTCTCTCTCTCTCTCTCTCTCTCTCTCTCTCTCTCTCTCTCTCTCTCTCTCTCTCTCTCTCTCTCTCTCTCTCTCTCTCTCTCTCTCTCTCTCTCTCTCTCTCTCTCTCTCTCTCTCTCTCTCTCTCTCTCTCTCTCTCTCTCTCTCTCTCTCTCTCTCTCTCTCTCTCTCTCTCTCTCTCTCTCTCTCTCTCTCTCTCTCTCTCTCTCTCTCTCTCTCTCTCTCTCTCTCTCTCTCTCTCTCTCTCTCTCTCTCTCTCTCTCTCTCTCTCTCTCTCTCTCTCTCTCTCTCTCTCTCTCTCTCTCTCTCTCTCTCTCTCTCTCTCTCTCTCTCTCTCTCTCTCTCTCTCTCTCTCTCTCTCTCTCTCTCTCTCTCTCTCTCTCTCTCTCTCTCTCTCTCTCTCTCTCTCTCTCTCTCTCTCTCTCTCTCTCTCTCTCTCTCTCTCTCTCTCTCTCTCTCTCTCTCTCTCTCTCTCTCTCTCTCTCTCTCTCTCTCTCTCTCTCTCTCTCTCTCTCTCTCTCTCTCTCTCTCTCTCTCTCTCTCTCTCTCTCTCTCTCTCTCTCTCTCTCTCTCTCTCTCTCTCTCTCTCTCTCTCTCTCTCTCTCTCTCTCTCTCTCTCTCTCTCTCTCTCTCTCTCTCTCTCTCTCTCTCTCTCTCTCTCTCTCTCTCTCTCTCTCTCTCTCTCTCTCTCTCTCTCTCTCTCTCTCTCTCTCTCTCTCTCTCTCTCTCTCTCTCTCTCTCTCTCTCTCTCTCTCTCTCTCTCTCTCTCTCTCTCTCTCTCTCTCTCTCTCTCTCTCTCTCTCTCTCTCTCTCTCTCTCTCTCTCTCTCTCTCTCTCTCTCTCTCTCTCTCTCTCTCTCTCTCTCTCTCTCTCTCTCTCTCTCTCTCTCTCTCTCTCTCTCTCTCTCTCTCTCTCTCTCTCTCTCTCTCTCTCTCTCTCTCTCTCTCTCTCTCTCTCTCTCTCTCTCTCTCTCTCTCTCTCTCTCTCTCTCTCTCTCTCTCTCTCTCTCTCTCTCTCTCTCTCTCTCTCTCTCTCTCTCTCTCTCTCTCTCTCTCTCTCTCTCTCTCTCTCTCTCTCTCTCTCTCTCTCTCTCTCTCTCTCTCTCTCTCTCTCTCTCTCTCTCTCTCTCTCTCTCTCTCTCTCTCTCTCTCTCTCTCTCTCTCTCTCTCTCTCTCTCTCTCTCTCTCTCTCTCTCTCTCTCTCTCTCTCTCTCTCTCTCTCTCTCTCTCTCTCTCTCTCTCTCTCTCTCTCTCTCTCTCTCTCTCTCTCTCTCTCTCTCTCTCTCTCTCTCTCTCTCTCTCTCTCTCTCTCTCTCTCTCTCTCTCTCTCTCTCTCTCTCTCTCTCTCTCTCTCTCTCTCTCTCTCTCTCTCTCTCTCTCTCTCTCTCTCTCTCTCTCTCTCTCTCTCTCTCTCTCTCTCTCTCTCTCTCTCTCTCTCTCTCTCTCTCTCTCTCTCTCTCTCTCTCTCTCTCTCTCTCTCTCTCTCTCTCTCTCTCTCTCTCTCTCTCTCTCTCTCTCTCTCTCTCTCTCTCTCTCTCTCTCTCTCTCTCTCTCTCTCTCTCTCTCTCTCTCTCTCTCTCTCTCTCTCTCTCTCTCTCTCTCTCTCTCTCTCTCTCTCTCTCTCTCTCTCTCTCTCTCTCTCTCTCTCTCTCTCTCTCTCTCTCTCTCTCTCTCTCTCTCTCTCTCTCTCTCTCTCTCTCTCTCTCTCTCTCTCTCTCTCTCTCTCTCTCTCTCTCTCTCTCTCTCTCTCTCTCTCTCTCTCTCTCTCTCTCTCTCTCTCTCTCTCTCTCTCTCTCTCTCTCTCTCTCTCTCTCTCTCTCTCTCTCTCTCTCTCTCTCTCTCTCTCTCTCTCTCTCTCTCTCTCTCTCTCTCTCTCTCTCTCTCTCTCTCTCTCTCTCTCTCTCTCTCTCTCTCTCTCTCTCTCTCTCTCTCTCTCTCTCTCTCTCTCTCTCTCTCTCTCTCTCTCTCTCTCTCTCTCTCTCTCTCTCTCTCTCTCTCTCTCTCTCTCTCTCTCTCTCTCTCTCTCTCTCTCTCTCTCTCTCTCTCTCTCTCTCTCTCTCTCTCTCTCTCTCTCTCTCTCTCTCTCTCTCTCTCTCTCTCTCTCTCTCTCTCTCTCTCTCTCTCTCTCTCTCTCTCTCTCTCTCTCTCTCTCTCTCTCTCTCTCTCTCTCTCTCTCTCTCTCTCTCTCTCTCTCTCTCTCTCTCTCTCTCTCTCTCTCTCTCTCTCTCTCTCTCTCTCTCTCTCTCTCTCTCTCTCTCTCTCTCTCTCTCTCTCTCTCTCTCTCTCTCTCTCTCTCTCTCTCTCTCTCTCTCTCTCTCTCTCTCTCTCTCTCTCTCTCTCTCTCTCTCTCTCTCTCTCTCTCTCTCTCTCTCTCTCTCTCTCTCTCTCTCTCTCTCTCTCTCTCTCTCTCTCTCTCTCTCTCTCTCTCTCTCTCTCTCTCTCTCTCTCTCTCTCTCTCTCTCTCTCTCTCTCTCTCTCTCTCTCTCTCTCTCTCTCTCTCTCTCTCTCTCTCTCTCTCTCTCTCTCTCTCTCTCTCTCTCTCTCTCTCTCTCTCTCTCTCTCTCTCTCTCTCTCTCTCTCTCTCTCTCTCTCTCTCTCTCTCTCTCTCTCTCTCTCTCTCTCTCTCTCTCTCTCTCTCTCTCTCTCTCTCTCTCTCTCTCTCTCTCTCTCTCTCTCTCTCTCTCTCTCTCTCTCTCTCTCTCTCTCTCTCTCTCTCTCTCTCTCTCTCTCTCTCTCTCTCTCTCTCTCTCTCTCTCTCTCTCTCTCTCTCTCTCTCTCTCTCTCTCTCTCTCTCTCTCTCTCTCTCTCTCTCTCTCTCTCTCTCTCTCTCTCTCTCTCTCTCTCTCTCTCTCTCTCTCTCTCTCTCTCTCTCTCTCTCTCTCTCTCTCTCTCTCTCTCTCTCTCTCTCTCTCTCTCTCTCTCTCTCTCTCTCTCTCTCTCTCTCTCTCTCTCTCTCTCTCTCTCTCTCTCTCTCTCTCTCTCTCTCTCTCTCTCTCTCTCTCTCTCTCTCTCTCTCTCTCTCTCTCTCTCTCTCTCTCTCTCTCTCTCTCTCTCTCTCTCTCTCTCTCTCTCTCTCTCTCTCTCTCTCTCTCTCTCTCTCTCTCTCTCTCTCTCTCTCTCTCTCTCTCTCTCTCTCTCTCTCTCTCTCTCTCTCTCTCTCTCTCTCTCTCTCTCTCTCTCTCTCTCTCTCTCTCTCTCTCTCTCTCTCTCTCTCTCTCTCTCTCTCTCTCTCTCTCTCTCTCTCTCTCTCTCTCTCTCTCTCTCTCTCTCTCTCTCTCTCTCTCTCTCTCTCTCTCTCTCTCTCTCTCTCTCTCTCTCTCTCTCTCTCTCTCTCTCTCTCTCTCTCTCTCTCTCTCTCTCTCTCTCTCTCTCTCTCTCTCTCTCTCTCTCTCTCTCTCTCTCTCTCTCTCTCTCTCTCTCTCTCTCTCTCTCTCTCTCTCTCTCTCTCTCTCTCTCTCTCTCTCTCTCTCTCTCTCTCTCTCTCTCTCTCTCTCTCTCTCTCTCTCTCTCTCTCTCTCTCTCTCTCTCTCTCTCTCTCTCTCTCTCTCTCTCTCTCTCTCTCTCTCTCTCTCTCTCTCTCTCTCTCTCTCTCTCTCTCTCTCTCTCTCTCTCTCTCTCTCTCTCTCTCTCTCTCTCTCTCTCTCTCTCTCTCTCTCTCTCTCTCTCTCTCTCTCTCTCTCTCTCTCTCTCTCTCTCTCTCTCTCTCTCTCTCTCTCTCTCTCTCTCTCTCTCTCTCTCTCTCTCTCTCTCTCTCTCTCTCTCTCTCTCTCTCTCTCTCTCTCTCTCTCTCTCTCTCTCTCTCTCTCTCTCTCTCTCTCTCTCTCTCTCTCTCTCTCTCTCTCTCTCTCCCTCCCTCTCTCTCTCCCTCCCTATCTCTCTCTCTTTCTGTCTGTGTGCAGAAGCAGTATGGTCAGATCCTCAGTAAGTTCAGAGTCATGTACACCGTGGGATACTCGCTGTCTCTGGCAGCACTGACTCTCGCGCTGGCCATCCTGATCAGCTTCAGGTGAATGCAGCATCTACCAAACACACGGACCTCACTACACACTCTACTTCAGCACTCGGTACAAATTACATCAAGAAAGCTGTAGCTAGTAATCTAATCGATTACATTACACATTTTAGCTAATATAATCGGATTATGTTTTGATTACTTGTAGACTACTTTTAACCTGTCACATTGATTTGAATAGGATAATCTCGTACCATATTGATATAAAAATACAAAGAGAAAGAAACTGTATTCCATTATTTGTTATCAACAACATTGAAGTGCATTAAACATGACATTATGCCAGGGTTTCCTGAACCGGGGGTTTGTGAAGGAACGGAGTAATCATGTAGTCGAAAAAAGTAACTGTAGTCTGATTACAGGTATTCTAAAATTCATTATAATCTACTAAGTGTTTAATTTTTGATTACGTGTTCCAGATTGCATATGCTGATCACACATAAATCAGAGTTCACATTCCCACAGGAAGCTGCACTGCATGAGGAACAACATCCACATGAATCTGTTCGGCTCCTTCATCCTGCGCGCCGTCTCCATCCTCGTCAAAGACGCGCTGCTGGATCAGATGAGCAGCGCTCAGAGCTTCCAGGGGCAGCGCTGGGTCGGCACTCAGGTACTCATCACTGTTTACAGGCAGGTCGAGCTGAATCCACAGGAAAGTGCAGGTGTGTTCAAGGACGTCTGTTCACGCACTGTAAGCGTCTCGGATCAAGCTCTTTAAATCGCTTTCTCTCAAAGTCGTTCTTTAAACGACGTTGCTTCCTCGCAGTTGTTGGCTTGCGTTGTGTAAAGACGGCCAATCAGATTGGATCTTGCTATTTTGCAGTATGTTTCAGAGCGATGTACCAGCCAAAAGCTGCCAGTCAGTGACTCTTAAACGCATTCATGTTCAGAAGCTACACTATATGTTACAGTACACTTCCAGTCAAATGCTTATTATGAACTAATTTAAACAAGCAAAGCTGTATAGACTGACTGACTAAAAAAACATTGCTAAGCAGATAAATGGTATTTATAGTAAGATACATTTTATACATTTTGTAAAAAAAAAAAGAAAAGTACATTTTTATTTATTTTGAATAGTTTCATTGCAAAGTATGTGATATGTTAAAATATAATAATAATACTATTAATAATAATGTATACCATATATCACTAATTGTCCATAAGAGTGATTAAAAGGCAGCTGGAAAGAATAGAATAGAATAGAATAGAATAGAATAGAATAGAATTAACATTTAAAAATATGTAATTTTTGTGTTTCAGGCTGACATTTGAAGAATTTCACATATTTTTATGGTTATTTTATTTCTTCCAGTTGCTTTCTAATCACAGTTATTGAAAATTAGTTAAACTGATATGTATATATATATATATATATATTCCACATCCTGCCCAATGTTGTCCTCTAAACATATGCAATTGTGCAGGACTGTGAAAATAAATATAGTGAATTTATATATGCAGGCTATGTTATGGATGATCAAATTCACTGTTGATTCTTTCGATTATTATTGTTGTATATATTAATATATTAGATTATATTAATGTATATACATTAATTATCATATATTGATAATGAATAAATAAATATGATATAACACTTTTTCACTAATAGTATCACGCCCCTGTACGTCAGGGCGGTCTGTGATTGGTCGGTGGGCGTGTCATCAGAGGCTGAATTTGCATATGTGTTCCTCAGACGGTGAGCGGCTGCCGTGTCGCCATGGTGATGATGCAGTACAGCATCATGGCCAACAACTACTGGCTGCTGGTGGAGGGTCTGTATCTGCACAGCCTGCTGGTCATCACCGTCTTCTCCGAGAGGAACTACTTCTACATTTACCTCTGCATCGGCTGGGGTGCGTCACACACAATCATTCATAATCACGTCCTTTCAGAAGAGTGAAAAAACTTTTCTTATGAAAAATAAAAAACTGTGTTTGTGAGGCCAGCAGGGGGTGCTCACCCTGAGGTCTGTGTGGGTCCTAACGCCCCAGTATAATGACGGGGACACGTAATGAAATATTATTATAACTGAAGTCTGAGCCGCTCAGAATTAGCACAAAGAGAGGCCATAAAACAACAGTCATTCACCTTCATCGCGAGTGGTTTGACGTATTTCTGACATTAGATTCAGAAGAGCAAATGCGACTGAATTTGGAGAAATTTTCCGTGCTTTATTCATATCAGAAGTCAGAAGGAAGGAGCGTTTGACGAAGCGTTTGATTGACGCTGTCTCTCTTGTGTTGCAGGTGCGCCGCTCATATTTGTGCTGCCGTGGATGACAGTCAAGTACCTGTATGAAAATGAAGAGTATGTTTCCTTTACTTGAACTTTGACTAACAATGGCTCCAGAAAGTGTTTGAACATCTGCGTCACACTGCAGTAGATATCAAACAGACTTCAACATTTGTGCTCGTTTTGTCTTTGAATCAGCTGGTGTGTTGTTGATTGTAGTGTTTTAATAGATTTTAAACTGAACTAGTGATTACTTGCTTTTTTTTTAGTTTCTTGAAAATAAATGCCACTTGGGTTTGTATTTAGTATCTAATGCAGTGACATGCATAGTTTTATTTTGTGATTGAAACGTCCAAATACATTTTGGGGCTACTGTGTGTAAGCACACATAGTGTCTTGATTTATATTGATGTTTTTAGTAGATCACTTATGCTTTAGTATACATTCCAGCAGGATTATCATAGTTAACTAAAAAAATAAAAAAAAACATTTGTGTTACTTAAAATAAATGTTGAAAATACAAATATTAAAAAAAACCTAAACATATTTTATTCTAACTAGTTGCTATTTAATTTATTAATTTAGATTAATTTGATGTACTGTACTGAAACAACATTACTAAAACTAAAAAACAAAATGAAAAATAAAAACCAATTTAAAATATTAATGAATCTCAACGATGATACTAAAACAACAATGCTTGTAGAACAAATGTACACATTATATATAGAAAATATAAATCAGTGTTAATATTATTGTTATATTTTGTTTTAATAATAATTTATAATGTAATATTCTAGGGCTGCAACTAATGATTATTTTGATCTGCTTTTTATTTATTTGATAAATAAATTAATCAGATGAAAAATGTTTGTAATTTTTGTATATGTATATATATATATATATATATTTTTGCGTATAATAATAATAATTGTATATATATAAATTTAAATATAAAAAAATTCCGCATCCTGCCAAGTTTTGTCCTCCAAACAAGGTACAATTCGAGGCCTATCAAAGCAAATATCGTGTATTTAACCCTAAAGCGCATCTGAAACCCTGCAGTAAATCCTGATGTGCTGATTGTTTTAATAATAATTTATAATGTAATATTCTAGGGCTGCAACTAATGATTATTTCGATCTGCTTTTTATTTATTTGATAAATAAATTAATCAGATGAAAAATGTTTGTAATTTTTGTATATGTATATATATATATATATTTTTTTTTTTGCGTATAATAATAATAATTGTATATATATAAATTTAAATATAAAAAAATTCCGCATCCTGCCAAGTTTTGTCCTCCAAACAAGGTACAATTCGAGGCCTATCAAAGCAAATATCGTGTATTTAACCCTAAAGCGCATCTGAAACCCTGCAGTAAATCCTGATGTGCTGATGGATATGGAACGAGTTTGTGTGGGATCGGCACAGATATAGGAGGATAACAGTGTTAGACGGTCAGACTATTAGCTCTAAAAATAAACACTTCTGCTTTTACGTCATCCAAAGAATTGCCCCATTACATTTTTTAAAGTGCATTTAAAATAAAATAAAGCAACAAATGCTTTATTAAAGTGCTGGATAAAATTACAAGTAATACTAAACTGAACAGAACATAACCGAATAATAAAACGGTATATTAGTGCTGCTTTTTCTGTCTTATTTTTTAAAGAAAAAAGTAGTGATGAGACAAAATTATTTTCATTTATTTGTTTTGTTTTTGGTGTTGTTGATCAACAAAATGCCACGAATGCTGTTGATCGAATATTGAATATAAGTTCTGTCGTACACAGAGATTTTCAAATGACTTCATTAATCCAGTTTAGATGTGTCTGACTTCTAAAAAAAAAAAGCCATTTATAAAAGTCTTTGTTGAACTTAAATGAGTGGTGTTGTGGGATTATTGAACGGTACAAAGCTCAAATGCTTCCAGTCCTGCACGTCTACAGAGGATTCAGAACCATTTTTATGTTTAGACATTTATAACGAACAAAAAATGTACAAATACCTCTGAAAACTAATGAGATCACCGTTTGAACAGATGCTCACAGGTGTGTGTGAGAGTGATTTATTAGAAATAGTTATTAAGCCGCTGAGAAAAATCCTCTATTCAAATAACAATGAAGAAATCGTTGCCATGGTAACTCTTAATTAAAGACACATGCTTCTTTTACTTATAAGAGCAATCAGTGCTCAGTTTTGGAAAGCACAGGAACACACTCACTCACTCACACTCACTCACACACACACACACACACACTCACACACTCACACACACACACACACACACCTTGAGCAAGGCACCGAACCCCCAACTGCTCCCCGGGCGCCGCAGCATAAATGGCTGCCCACTGCTCCGGGTGTGTGTTCACGGTGTGTGTGTGTGCACTGCTGTGTGTGTGCACTTTGGATGGGTAAATGCAGAGCACTAATTCTGAGTATGGGTCACCATACTTGGCCACATGTCACGTCACTTTGCTGTGAACGGGCCGTTACAGCTGATGTCATTCAGTCCGTTTGAAACAAAAAAACAAAACGCAGCCTCGCATGACAACGAAACCGTTCGTCAAGCATCTGCGCAGAAGATCCACTGTGTGTGTGTGTGTGTGTGTGTGTTGCATATGGAGTATTGAGATTCAAGCTGCCTCTAGTATGATTCTGCATTTGCACGCTGATATTATCGGAGGACGTGTTCATCCAGTGAGAGCCTCGGGCACAGGAACACATTATGACCTCCGCGTGACCTCCAGCGCACTCATCAACGCATAGTAACAATACAAAGTAATAAAGACAAACACAACAGAAATGTTGGTTCTACACAACATAACTGATTTATTTCACGAGTCCCATTTGTACTGCGCTTGCACCGTGTTCTGATTTAAAAACTGCGGCAGAAACAGGCTTTGAACAGCTTTTTGTATGCGATATGTGACTCTACGGGATTTCTGTTCTCAGAAAAGTAGCCTATTTGGAAAACAATATTGATTTGCTCATGTATGACGCAGAATTAAATGAACCTTCAGTCATTATTTGTGTTGTTTTAGAATATTTGAGCCTTAATTAGAGGATAATACTCTTTACAGTTTACTTTATGCTCTCCCCTATTTACATATTTACATGCATGCACATTTTAAAAAGTTGATAAAATATCTATATAACAAATAATCTGACAACTGTTCAAAACTGAAATTGCCAGATCTCGATCGCATTTTATTAATTAATGAATGTTTATGAATACATTTATTTGTTATTTATTATTTATTAATTTGCAATTTAATGGCAAAGATGTTTATACATGAATTCAAATAATTGTAAAGTATGTTCAATTCACTCATCATCTAAACTCAGTAAGAATCAAATATAAGAGAGATTAATCAGTTATAACAGTGGTTTGTTTTGTGTTTGTCACACTAACTCTGCTCAGGCTTCAGAAGTTACACAGAACAGAATGAAAGCATTATAAAGTCAAAACTTTATAAGTATAAGAGAGATCTCATTGATGTGTGTGTTAGTTCATGCGTTACGCTTTGACATGTTATCATGTACGGTAGTGAAACTGAGATATCGTGGTTTTTGAATGACACAAATCACGTCAGTCTCTGTGATTTTAACCTCTCTTCCTTCCTCTCTTTCTTTTCTTCTGGAATAGATTAATTTCATCATATTCATTCGTATAATAAAGATTCTGATGTCCAAGCTGAAGGCGCATCAGATGAGATACACAGACTACAAGTTCAGGTAAAAGACCGCCGTGTTTTTTATTGTTATTTTTTCATGCAAGCAGAGCTCATGCTCTCATTAAATGTGTGTTTTTCTCTCTCGCTCTGCTCAGGCTGGCCAAGTCCACGCTCACGCTGATTCCTCTGCTGGGGATTCACGCCATCCTCTTCACCTTCGTCATCGATGAGTCCGTGCCGAAGGAGTCTCTTCTCAGGCTGATCCGCCTCTTCTACGACCTCCTGTTCAGCTCCTTCCAGGTCAGAGGGCAAAGGTCGTCCACCCACCGTCACCATCAGATCATTTCAATCAGAGTGTTTACAGAGATGGATGGTATCTGCTGTGAGATGAGAGCAGATGGTTGAGGTTCATGTGTGTTGTTGTCTGTAATTTTAGGGTCTGCTCGTGGCCATCCTGTACTGCTTCGTCAACAAAGAGGTGGGAGATATTCCTGTTTATTAGATTTTTTTATAATAAAAAAGAATCTCTTAAAATCACAGCTACACATGATCAAAGCAGCAGCTCTCAACCGGATTTGCTTAATTGTACATTGGACTAATTAAAACCAGCGTTAACCAGTAGTATCATTGAGATAGTATTATAGTTTTTATTAATATATATATATATATATATATATATATATATATAATAGATTTTTATTATAATTTTTATATTTTCCATTTACATTTTTATTTTAGGTAAAGTTTTAGTGATTTTGTGTTTTGTCATTTTTAATATATTTTTAATATATATTTCTATAGTTGTTATACATTTTATTTCAGTTTCAGTTATTTTAGCACAAGTTAACCTAAATTAAAATAATTAATTAAAAAAAAAATTTGTTTCAATTAACACAGTTTTTATGGTTTTAGTTTCAGCTTTAGTTAACTAATATAATCCAGATAATTGCACCAAGCTACATCTTAATTGCTGTTTTATTTCGATTAATTCTGCAGCCCTATTTATCTATTGTAATTTTGAACTACATTCAATTTTGTTGATTATTAGCGAATGCCAAGGGGGAAACTCTCTCTCTCTCTCCCTCTCTCTCTCTCTCTCTTCTAGATAGCTTTTTTTATTAAGCAAGAATGTGCTTATGCATTGCATAGTTCATTGATTGAATGCAATAAAATTGTGAAATGATGTAAAAATAATTATTGCATTATGATTAACAAAAATGAACAAGCAGCAAAAATCTTTTTTTGAATGTAGATGAGCTCAAAGCTAACAGACCAGCACTAAATGCCATAAACCTCTTGATTTCACAGGGTCTTTAAAGTGATTTACGAGTGATTATCGAGGCTTCATGATGGTGTTAGACTGATAATCTGGGCTCAGTCTCTGCTATAGCTAAAGAAAGAGCAAAACAACAAATCATTGTTTACCGCCAGAATCCACTCAGTGACCATGGCAACCTCATTCCTGCCAAACAGCTGACCTAATGTAGAGGTCAAATGGTTCTACATTACATCAGCGCGGAATTTTCAATCTTCTCCACGACTGACGGATTCCAACACGCCGAAACGGAACAAGGAACTCGTTTTGATACCTGTTCTGGAGATTTGTTTTCCACGGTAATGAAAAAAAAGAAGCTCAGATAATGGAATAGCTTTATATATATTGATTTTATAATGTTGTATATATATATAATAGATTTTTATTATAATTTTTATATTTTCCATTTGCATTTTTTGTTTTAGTAATTTTGTTGTTTTTTTTATTAATTTTATTTCAGTTATATTTCAGTTATACTTGGAAACTGCCTTAGCAATTAGCTGAAATAATGTTTTATTATTTATTTCATTAATTTCAGTTAACTGGTAACAATTATTTAAATGTTAACATTTAAGTAACACAAAAAAATATGGCTTTACTTTTAGTTTACTATTATATATATATATAAAAAAAACTTGCAATAGGTAGAATATGAAAGTTGACCATTTTAGAAAATATATAAGCATTAAAAGTGATGTACATGAACAACACAAGGTTAAACACAGTGACAGATTAAATCTGCTCCAAAATGCTGTTTAAATGAGAGCAATATTTGACATCGACAGCAAAAGATTTCAGAGAAGTGATTTCACCTGCATTTTAAACATTGAGAAGCCTGTTTATTTTGCTATGCTAACTAAACCGTTCGCATACTGGTAGAACATAGCTGTAAATAGCTTTTTGGGTCACGGCCAACTAGTTGGGAACCACTATTCACACCAAGTTTTCTGTTAATTTTAGTAGTGAAAAAAAAGCATCCTTATGGAACCCTTCATGTTAAGCATGAACATTCACTCTTTTTTTTCATATGTATTGCATTTGATGCAATTTTTCACCGTATGTGTTTTTTTTCTTCAGTCATATCGCTCTTTTTTGTGAACAGTCCTCTGACTGAATAGACTGTGTTTCTCCGGCTCTCCAGGTCCAAAGTGAGATGCTGAAGAAGTGGAAGAGGTGGAAACTAGGCAAGGACATTGGGGAAGAGTACCGTCACACCCACAGCCAGACGCCCCACGCCAAAAGCTGCAGCATGGCCCCAGCAATGACCCACGAATGCCCCGAATCCCCAGAACTGGCGGCCTCGGCGTCCCAGCGTCTAGTGACGGGCCTTCAGAATGGAGTGAGCCAGAACCGGAGCCGTGTGAGGCTGCAGTTGACCTCCGAGCCACAGGAGGGTGCCAGTAACTGCAGCTCTCTGACGGAAGACATTTGTCTGGAAAAGCGTCCCCTCAACAGTGAGTGCTCAGCGGTGGTGACAGAAACCAACCTTTAACACTAATGGATCAATGGAGATGATGTTTCATTCCAGATATGGTCTTCATGTTAGCAAACAGGCTTCTATCGTGAGAAAGCGTGGATATGTGGATCTAGTAACCGTAAGTAAAAACAAACTGCAATTATCTCCTGAGTTGGTAAATAATCAGTATTAAATATTGGTGGCAGTCACATTTACTGCTGCTCAGCAAAATTTTGCAGATGAAATTACCAGTGCCAGTGAAGGTTACTTTTTTAAAGTAATCCATTACAATATTTTGTTACTCCCTAAAAAAAGTAACTAATGTTGTTACTTGGTTAGGTTTTATGGAAAGTAATGTGTTACATTACTTTTGCATACATTTTTCTCATCTAGGCTGAGCTTGCTGGATTGTTTTTAATGTAAAACAGTTATATTTGTGGCGAGTGTAAAAGCCCGTTCACACCAAAAGTTCAATGAATAGCCTCAGGCTGAAGGAAATGTGAATTCATGTCTGTACAGTAGAGGCCGCGGTTCAGACAAACCTTGTAGCTGTGCTGCTATTCTGGACTGCATGAAGAATAGGACGCAGCAGAAAAAAGTTCAACACTTTTCAACAAGTAAAACAAAAAAGAAAAACAAATGTTGTGTTTATCAAAAGTAATTTTTAGGGATGCACAATATTATCGGAACGTTATCAAAATCGGCCGATAATGGTGTAAAATGCAAATATCGGCATCAGCCCGATATGAAAACTTGTGCCGATATGCCTTACTGATAAGATGAGTAACTCGCATGTGTTCAGGGTGTGATAGCGATAAGATCATGTCAGCAGTGTGGTCATTCTTGAACTTTTGCCTGAATGATGATTAGATTCACTGTTTTGAGCATTTAATCTGAGAATGCAAGTTCAGAATGAGCGTCATAGAGTCAGCAGTTACTAGCACCTGCAGCAGCCGCCTCCCCCGGGTCCTAATGCCTGTTCGGTAAGGCGTTTTATTTGCTTAGGGGGCGCTGTTGGCCTACTTGTTATAAAATGAAAGTAAAACACACAAATAACATTAAGATTGTGTTTCTGATTAAATAAAGCAGTTGATGTCATAATCACAAGTATGGTTTGATTTAAAGGTCAGAAGGTATAGCTTACATTAATAAAAATCACAAACAAGACACTTGTAAATTAAATCATTTGTATACACAGATGCATTCAATGTGTAATATTGATTTTAATAAGATTTTCAGAATTTGTACAACCATCTACAAATGTTAAATATTCAAATAGAATGTTAAGGATTGCTTTATAGTTGTTTTCTAGTTATTTTCAAAGCTTTCAATGTACTCTCATTATAAAAGAACGTCATTGTTTATTTAATTCTCTAAAGTATGTTTTTGTTAACTATCCAAAATGAAAAATTATTTATGATCTCTGTACAGGAGAGATTTGGTGTTGTTTCCAAACAAAAGGAAATATGTCGGTATCGGTTATCGGCCAAAATTAATTGAAAAATATCGGCAAAAATCTAATATTGTGCATCCTTAGTAATTATTGCTCATTAGTACGGTTGAATTGGATCATCGAAGGTCAGAAGCAAAGACATTGGTTAATAAAATGGGATTAAATACATTACAATACAATATAGGATATTTGTGTTAACATATTTAATTATTACAGGTTTGTGTCATATTCTGAGTTTGCATTTCACTGTTTTTATTCATTCTCAACATGAGGACAGGAGAGCTGTCGGTCAACACATTAGAAACTAGACTAACTGGCATTACTTATATGAAACTTTGAATTTTTTTTTTTACATTATTTTTGTAAATTAAAAAGTAATGCATTAAGTTAGTTACTTGGGGAAAAATTAATCAGATTACGTAACTCGCATTACTTGTAATGCTTTACCCCTAATGCTGGTCATTACAATAGCAATCCACATAATCGGGAGTTTCACATGAGTGTGAAAAGGTTCCCTGCACAGATTTCGCTTATTTTCAAGTAGGTCACATAAATTTGGCTGCTTAATTTGAAAGTTTCTTGTATGTGAGCTGTGCTTCATACATCGTTACACTATTGACAGTATGAACATTTTTGGGCTGGAAAAGGTTTTTCTTATTTTACTGAGAAAAAAAACAAGATTTGGTTTTTAAATATTCTTTTGACTGAACAATCACCTGGAAACCACCCAGAATAGCTATTTGTGGCAGAAATGACCAATTATATTTACATTTATGCACTTAGCTTTTATCCAGAGCGACTTACAATAAAGAAGCATAAGCTATTTGTTACAGAGCCAACAATGTTCACAGAATTCAATGGCAGGTTTATTAGAAAACTAGATTGGCAAACAAGCCGGAGTAGAGGAGAAATGCAGAAAAGAGAAAATGTGTGTCTTCAGTTGCTTCTTGAATGTTGTGATGGTCTCAGCAGTTCGGTTTGAGGTGGGCAGGTCGTTCCACCAGAGAGGAGCAGAGAGGGTGAAGGGTCTGGAAAGTGTCTTCATGCCTCGCTGTGAAAGAACGACAAAGCACTGCTGCACTTGGTTATTTACCCACTCAGGAGTTAAAACCCGCTTTCGCTGAGTTGCCCTTTAAGAATGCTCACCAAAACATCTCACACTGGCAGAAAAGCTGTGAGGCGTCCATAATTCAGTTCCGTTTCTACTGAACACTAACAAAGTAAGAAAAGGAAACTCATCGCTTGCTCGGCATCAAAACACCTGAGATTGATGTTTCATGTGGGGTGTTCGGTTGTTTCTTGACCAGATGCTTTAATAAAACGGTATCAAATTTAAACAGATCTTCAGTGGAAGCTTTTTTTTTTTTTGAAGCGTACAGTGTGAAGTGACAGTGTTTACTCGCTATATGTCCATCCACACACTTCACCGGAGTGCCATTCTTACAGACTATAGCCACAATTCATCAGGACGAGAATCAACCGCTCAACTGAGAGCTCAGGAATGTTCTTTATGGTTCCCATGTGAGGCTTCTGGGATTGTGGAGGATCTCTAACAGCGTTCAAGACCATTATTAAACATGACATGCTTAATCATTCTGTATTTGGGGGGAAATGGTGTATTTCAACACAAGACTGAAACAGTCTCTCTGTTCATGATGCATTATTTGCTGAAGCAAACCTCGAGGTACGAGAGGTTATGTTATGAATATAATATATGAATATATATTGTTAAAGCGTGTTGTTGAACACAGCATGCAGTGTATTCTCAACTTTAAGTGAATTATTGCTTTTAGAAGAAATACTACCTAATAAAAATAAATAAATGCAAAACCACATTTTAGTGTCAAGAGGCATCTTTCAGCATGAAGATGTAGTCCCTAATATAACAGAATGTTGCTATGCACCAAAAATAAGCAGAAATGCACACTAATTTTATTTTGTGTCATAGCTGTTTATATCTAGATTTAAATAATGGCTGGATCGCTGTACTGACCAATCAGAAGCCCAAACTTTTTCTTTTTTTTTCAGTTTTATAAAATTGGTTACAATGCTGCTAATTTCAATTCTCTATGCTTATATGGTTGACACTGACAAAATGAGGTTGATTTAGTGAAAACCTGACTGCTAAACCTCAAATCTATCTACCATCAAGCTTCAGTAACATATTAATAATGCATCATAAACACAGAGCTTCGTATGGACTCCTGGATGTCATGCGATTGTGATCTGCATCATTTGAATGTTTTTTGTGCTTTGTGGAAAGAATTTGTATGGAAGAGTTGAACATGTGTAAATCACTTTTGTTATTGCCTGCGAGAACAAGAAGTAAAGAGGGAGCAAAAAAGATGTTGAAACCAAAAGGAAGATTGTAAAAATAAAACTTCCAGAGTCTGGTTGTTTAGTCTGTTGTGGATGGCTTTCTGGGATTGTAATTGTGTGTCATTTGCAAAGGATTCTGATATATTCCCTCGTGCAGTCAGGCTGCGGCTGCAGACATGGCTCAGATCTTTCACTTCATTTACCGTGGCACTTGACATTAGCACACCTGATTTTAAATGGTCTTGTTACAATGGAAGCTGCAACACTGTGCCGTTTAACAGGGCATTCCTGTACAGTCAAGCAAACAGCTTCAAAACATTTAAAAATGTTCTTAACATGAAAATACAACCTTCAGACTTAGCAACACCTCTCTTTCACTGTCAGATACAGTAGTACATGAATTGTATATTGGTCTAGTACAATGATTTCTCTTGGGGATCTCCCAGCTAACAGGGAATGTTCTAACTACTTTTAGTAATGTTTTTATTATTATTATTATTTATAAATGTTAGACAAAACATTCTTAAAGTAATGTTAATGGAAAGTTCTAATATATTTGATAAATGTTGTCATAACGCTGAGGAAACATTCTTAGAACAATATTCTCTGACTGTCCTTATGTTATTTGTGCTAGAATGTTCTAAGCAGGGGCGTACATTTCGTCTAACAGTTGGGGGGGACAATAAGCATACAATTTCTCAAGAGCAATTTTTGAAGGGGACACAAATAATCCAGCTATAATTGTACTTGTAAGGAGATGTATACACAGAGGAAAGCGTTACTACTATAAGTGCAGCAGGGAGACCGTGCCAATATAGACAACTTCAAGCTATTGTGGTCGTACCGTGACAGCGCTCGTGTCCGTTGTAGACATTACTATCCGTCACAGTGTTGCCAAGTCCTCGGTTTTCCCTTGGAATTGGGCTACTTTATCACTGTTGCCACGGGTTGAAGAGACCCCAATTACGTGTATTTTAGCCCCCGGAACGTGATTTTTACTGGGGGACCACCTCGAAATGCGCATAGTTTAGGCTAGTTTTGAGTAGCAATTGGGCAGGTTTTGTTGTGAAAACCTGGCAACCCTTTCCGCCAAGCAGGTGACGTTATTATTGCTAAAATAGCGGACTCATCGAAAAATACATTGGCATCATCTGTATTAAAGAGAAAATAATCACTTCATCCGATGTTTAAGTGAATAAAATAGCCTTGACAGCCTTACTGGAGTTCCACAACTATTGACTCTCTCACCGGACTTGTTTGCTATGACAAGTTTTTGTAACCTTTTAAATAACGTTACAATCACGACAAGAAAACTGGACA